TCAGCTGTTGCACTTATGGCTCTTCCTTTATTCAGGACTCCCTCAGGGACTGTGCTTTGTTCATCGATATCGCTCGGTTTTCTGGCCCTAGGAAGAGCAGGCTTCGCCGTGAATCACATGGACGTTGCTCCAAAATTTGCTGGTATAGTGATGGGGGTTTCAAATACAGCTGGGACATTGGCTGGGATAGTTGGTGTTGGCCTAACGGGAAGTATTCTGGAGGGGGCAAAGGCTTCTAACATGGATCTGACAAACTCAGAAACCTGGAAAACAGTCTTCTTTGTTCCAGGGTACCTCTGTATTTTCAGTTCCATCATTTTTTTGATTTTCTCCACTGGCGAAAAGATTTTTGAATAGAGGATGACTATTCTTTTACTTTTAATTTACGGTGAGGCTGGATAGCAATACGGGATTCTTACATGTATCTGTTTGTCATTTGTTATATTTTGGAGTTAAGATTGTATCCCATACATCCTTAAAAAACAGTGCAGAAAGGATTGCACATTTTTTGTAGTAAATTTATCATTTCTGTAGTCAGTCAAGTTTCTGTTATTCAGGCAGATTGGATGGCATCTTTACAACTTACAAGTGTAACATTATGTATTCTGCTGTCACCTATTCAGGCTTATTGCACCTTTTTGTATTGAAATATGGAATTGTCATGGGCAGAGAAGAAGGTGCAATATGTTCATGCATCATTCTTCATTTGGATTTTGTGAACTGTTTGTTTGAATTGGAAAATCCAGTGTACTGGGTTTATTGCTCAAGAAGAAGCAATACAGTGAGTCCCATACCTTGCTAGGTACTTTCTCTGTTTCGTAATATAAGACTTTCTAGCATTGCCAACATTTATGTAGATGTTAATGAATTTAGATATGAAGGTGGGCAATGCTAGAAAATTTTACATTACTAGTAGGGTGCCCGTGCGTTGCTACAGGAAATTTTGATCACGGGAAAAAAAATCTGGCAATCCAAAAGAAACTACGAGTTGCGGCGGCTGGTTGTGTGCGGGCCGGCGGGTGGGCGGTGATTTTCGCGTATTTTTTAAATTTTTTTTGCTCTTCGATTAAATCTTCATTGCCCAATCATTTTTCAAAGAAATCCAGTGATGGGATGCAATCTTCGAACTTACATTTTTTAGCACGGCAGATCAATATTGACAAGGCAGGAAGAAAGTGACTCAAATTTTGAGCTATCATTGTGTTGTTATATTTTGATAGTATCTGTCCAGCCAGATGGTTTATATCGGGAACAAAGATCTTCCTATTAAACTTTGAGGAAAAACTTTTTAAGAAATTTTGCGATTAACAACTAACAAACGCTCAAATTCTATTATTTTGCAGAATCTGCCTCTAGTTAAGCTGGTCTCCGGCAGACATACAATCTCAAGGCAATAAGTATACATGTTGTAAATTAAAATTAAAATTTCTAGGTGTAACAAAATTATCACCCTTTTGTATCCTGAGGTTTATTCACATGCAAAGCACCGGAGTTCAATAAACCATGAAGATGCTTCTTTTTTTTACTTTAGAAGTTGTTTCTAACCTAGCTATTAAGTTCAATATGTCACTATGGTCCTAAAATGATCAGTCCTGAAGTTGTTCTTTACACTCCAGCAATGCTTATAGATGTCTAGTTGATTACAACTTGATTTTTACTCCACAAATTTGGCATCCATGTCCTCTCTAATTGAGCTATATTAATTGATCATTTGTAGTTGGGGATAGAAACTTTAGAAAAGTTGATTGAATACCCAGAATTTGTGGGGACTACACCCACATGCTTTGCAAATCAATTCTATCTGCTATAGTGTTTCCAAACATGTATTGTATATTTCCAAAGTACCAATAGAACAGTACCAATCAGACCAAATGACAAAATGAACCGTGAAAAAACTGATACTAAAACTAATTTACATAGAAAGGCTTCTTAGTTTTCAATCACAGAAAATGAATGCCTGTCTTAGTAATGCAAACTCCCTAATCATCTAATTTCACTGAAAGGTAGTTGGCATTGAAGTGGCATATGGCACAAAAGGCCAATCAGGATCATCAGAGGATGGCCTCCTGATTTACCTTGTTTGCATCCCAACAGTATACCAAAGGCATAGAACATATGGATCTCTGTCTATAGGCAAATCCCCCTATGTTATCCCTGTCAGCTGCTTCAAATAAAACATCTATATCAGTCCTGTATTATGTGCCATTTTTGCACATGATTTAGCTGATTTTGGAGTTCTCCAAACAGTAAAATTTATAAACTTGACAAAGTAAGAAACCCCAGGCATCTGAAACTAAAACTAAATTATATACCATTATTAAGAAAGGAGGAATGTGATCACAAAACAAAACACAGAACAAGGAGGAATGCGATCAGTTTACCTAGAGCAGCAGGCTAAGTTAGTGTCAGATGCGATGCAAAGGGCAAAGTTGAGAATTTTTTTTTAAAAGTAAAACTGCAAGAGCACTTTATGTGTCACCTTGCTTTATATGGCTTCGTCTGAACTTTGGTCACCTAAATTGCACCGCATATGCACTTTTCTACACAATTAGGTTGAGCAAGAGCTTTCAGACCTAAACAAATCAGAAACTACACAAGTATTCACAAGCAGAGTTCAGTTGTTCAGTAATCTATCTCCAAGAGTCAGTTGTTCAGGTGTTGCAGTCCAAACCTTTTGCAATGATGAGAAATTTGATTAGTTGCATACATTATGATATAGTTATTGTACTTAAAGTCAACCATTCTCCTCAAATTTCATGCACTTTCACAGCTATTACCTGGCAACTTGACAGTCCTTCTGAGAGAGAAGCTCGCAACCTGCAATCTATAATAAGCATCAGAAAATGGGATTGCAATTTGGCATTTCAAAGTTCACACTTATAGTATATATATACTCCCCCCATCTATCTTTGATCAGAATATAACTTTGTGACCAGTTGTATTGCCTGTGATTTCTGAAGGATGCAACAGAGCACTATATCACCCTCAATGGGATTTTTGGAGCAAAGAATACAGTCTGCCAAAAAGAGAAGAACAAAGACAAATTAGAAGAAAGGATGCAACAGAGCACTATATCACCTTCAATGGGATTTTAGGATAATACAGTCTGCCAAAAAGAGAAGAACAAAGACAAATTAGAAGAAAGGATGCAACAGAGCACTATATCACCTTCAATGGGATTTTTGGAGCAGAGAATACAGTCTGCCAAAAAGAAAAGAACAAAGACAAATTAGAACAAGATTGAATCCCCAAACCAACACAATACACGTGAACTCTTGGTAGATGAAGAAACCGCTAAAAGTGGAAATTGTATCTCGTCGATGCAGCCATATCCAGGGGGAGCTCATGAATCCTACGGTGGCGGCGTCGAGAGGCGAGGCGGCAGGATGAGGAGGCAACACAATGGGGGAGTGATGGCTGAACAAATGCATAATAGCCATTGATAATTTAATATCAGGATTATTTACATTATGCTGGAGACGGCAATCGAATGAGAAGTCCATTTATATAATAAATTTTGCGTCACACATGCACATAATCTGATTTCAATTATCTCACTGATGTATGCTATTAGTGGGAGAGAGGAAAATTAAGCTGCAAGTATATATAAGCAAAAAGAAAACTGCTCACCGAGTCCAGGCAGACTTGTCGTAGGCCATGTGTGTAGGCAGATCGAGTAGTCGATCAGGGGAAAGGGCGGCGAGGCCTTCCCGGCGTTCGGCTGTGGAGGCTGAATGTTTTGCCTCTAGCTTTTTATCAAAAATTACGACGAAGATCCCGATCGACCGGCGTAGGGGAAGGCGATGTGGGAGGAGACCGATGGCTGCGTGATTTGGGAGGTCGCCCAGAAGCTGGCGTCGGCGATCTGGAGGCGGAAATCGGCGGCGGCACGATGACGACCTCAATGGCGATACGAGGCGGCGCGATGACAGGTCGCCGCCGGCGTCGCGAGTCGATCTAGTGGCGGAGATCGAAGGCGGCGTCGACGGCGTTGCGAGCCGCGGGCAACGATGGCGATCTCGAGGAGTAGTAGTCGCCGACGGAGGTGGGTGGGCAGCGCGCGTGGCAGGTGTGCAGAGGAGTCGGCGTCGGCGGCGGGGAGGAGAAGGAGTAGGAGTAGACCCGTCGGCGTGATCTGGAGCGGAGTCGACGGCGGCGGCGTTGGCGGCGGTTGCGGGTGGGCAGCGGCAACGTCGCCGGCTGGGGCGAGTGGGCGAGGTGAGGAGGCGACGTAGGGAGGAGGGCGAAGGACGCGGATCCGAGAGAGGAGAGAGCGTGGGGAGGAGATCGGTCGTTGGATACTTGGATATGCAAATTGGATGGTTGAGATTACGCGTGTCTGTCAGATGCGTCTGCTATGTCAGGAATCAAGACCACCACTACGGATTTTTTAAGTAGTAGAGATAAGACGGAGAAAGTAAGAAAGTAAGTACCACTTAACCAGGCTATAACGATGCGGATACTTTCCCCTCTCTCTGTTTTTTTAATAAAAAAATGAAATCTGTATGGTCAAAAAGATTTATGGTCACAAGTGTCAGTTGATTATACAAGAGTGAAGGAAATATTTCGGTTGATCCTCTGAATTTTCTTCTTAAAATGGTGTAAACTAGGCGTAAAATCTAAGAAAAGGAATAATTTATGCATATCTTTATTATCCACAGTTTTTTAAAAAACAATGCTTGAAAATAAATTACAATAAAAGAACAAAATCAGCATTAAATTAAGTTTCGAAATTTAAAATTTGCCTGCGGTTGATGAACAATGATGATACATTTGAAACACGGAACTGTCGTTCAAGATATTTGATCACAAACCCTTATTTTTTATCCAAACCTGAGGGATTTACTTGGTGTACATATACTCTCTATCCCGAAATAATTTTACTTTTATACATGAATCTGGACACGGGCTATATCCAGATTCATTAGGTTATATGTACTCCAACTGACATGTGGGGTCACCCACATGTATGTGTGGGTGGGTTTTATGCCGTATAAGCTGCGGGACACCGTTCTTTCCTTCCTTCCTCCCTTTCGAAACGCGCAAAAACCCTCTCCGACTCTCCCCTTCTCCCACTCTTCTCCGGCGGCGGCGGCGGCGGCGGCGGGAGCGCATCGGAGATGATCATCCCGGTGCGGTGCTTCACCTGCGGGAAGGTAGAAAATCTCCCAGACATGACGTCCTCCACGTATTTTACCTCCCCCACCGTTTCCCATCTAGGGCTACCGGCTAACGGCCCCCGCTTCGCCGCCGGCGGAGAAGGCGGCGGCGGCGGCGGGCGGTTGGGCTGCTTTTTCTCTTGCGGTTCCGTCCGATTCGATGCGTTCCCTGATGCCTCCGCGGCTCCGCTGCCGCTACTTCGCGCCTCCGTTAGGGCACGCTGCTCGTTAGGGTTTCGGTCGCTTCTAGATTCTGCAGTGTAGCTTTTGCTCTCGTGAGATTCCCTAGTTGTTTAATTTGTGTGGCCAGTGGTTTGTACGCATGAGATTGGTTGGTTGGTTGGATTAGGGTTTAGTGGTAAGGAAGTGCTCATATTTTTTTCCCCATATTTCGCAGGTGATTGGGAACAAGTGGGATCTGTACCTGGATCTCCTCCAGGCTGACTACACAGAGGGGTAATGATGATTTGCATCTCATCTCTGGGAGCATGCATTTGTGATGTTGGTTTGATTACTTAATACTTTTTTAAGTGATTTTGGATATAGTCAAGTTAATGTTGATATATATTTTGGTGAAAGCAATCCAATTTAGCAGACCTGAGCATCTGTACCTATTCAGTTCCTCGAGTCAGAAGTACAAGTGACTGGGAAAATTTATTGTTTTTCTGCTCAAAATGATTGCTTCTATGGGATATGATATTATAGAAATCTGTTGTAATTGATCATTTGCAGTGCAAACATATAAGAAGTGAACACTTGCTGCTTTATTTATGCGTGTATTCTCCACTTTATTACCCCTGCAATTTGTTTGTGAAAATCATCCTCCTTCCCCCCTTCTCTTTCCCAAGCTTACCTAGCAGTTTTGGTTAAGAGGTGAGTGGAAGTGAGGGAAAAAAAAGAGTCAAGACTGTGTTGTTTGTAGGGAATATGGGGGAAAACAAATACGGAAATAAGTCAGAGTACAATGTAACATGAAGCTGTTATCTCTTAATGTTGTCACATTTAGAGTGGGAAATCATCAATCTTTCTGATTCTATAAGACCTTGACCTATGCATTCCAACCTGCAAGCTTTATTTGTTCATATCTTGGAAACTGATGATCCAAGGGGTGTTTACCTTTGTTTAGATAAGCCAATTCATTTCTACTTTCCCTACGAGTTAATCTGTTTGTTTACCTCTGGCTTGTCTGTGCAAATCATGATTGTTAAGGTGTAGCTATGGCGTCGCTGTAGCGTCACCATAGTGGTAAGGCGGTGGCAAGTGTCAAGGCATACGCCCGCCTTACCAGCAAAACCAGTGGAGAAAGGGAAAGGAGACGGCAAAACCAGTAGAAAAAGAGAAAGTAGAAGGGGATAAGCTCATCGCCTCATCCTGGAACCCTAGAATCCTAGATAGCTTGTGGTCACCTTCTTCCACGTCGCAGCCAGCTTGCTGTTGTAGATCCCATGTCCCTGCCATAAGATCTAGCTCCAGATCCAAGCTGCTGCTGCTTGCTGCGGTTCTTATCTCTTGCAGTGGCAGTGGAAGACAGCGAGGGGAGGAGAGGTATTGGGGTCTAATGGCCGCGACAGAGATGGTCTGCTATGGGGGAGGTGGCCGCCGGCTGGCGGATGGAGATGCTGATCTCAGCGTGCACATGTGGTGCTCTCCTTCGTCAACTAGCCGCGCACGATGCGTCGATGCCTCTTAGGGCACAAGAGATGTGGGGGTAGTTGATGTTGGTTTTTTGTGGACTGGCAGCCTGGCCTGGTGGGCTTTTCTCCTTTTCCTTTCTATTTTCTTTGCAAATCTCTCCCTTAATCACGCCTCAGCCACCTCGTATTGCGTCGCCTTGCCTTACACCTTGCTCGCTATAGCGCTGAGGTGTACACTCGTCTCCATAAACGCCTTAGCGCCTTAACAACACTGGTGCAAGTACATATGTATCTTTGGAAATGATTATGAGCTGTTATTAGTTTTTGACATGCTGTTGACTCTATCTATGTACATGTTATTAATTTTTTTTACATACTTTCTACGACTTTCTGTTGTCAGGGATGCTCTGGATGCATTGGGTTTGGTCCGTTACTGCTGCCGGCGAATGCTCATGACCCATGTTGACCTCATCGAGAAGTTACTCAACTACAACAGTAAGTTTACACTGCTATAGAAGCTATAGTTTGCTTTCTTTCCTGTTCCCTTATCAAGTGACAATTTTGAATTTCAGCGCTGGAGAAGACCGAGACAGCAGGTTAAGTTGACCCAGCATGCTCCAGAACTCTTGTTCCTTATTGCCTTTGTTCACGAATGTTCCAAGGAATTTGTGTGATGATCCATGCTGCATTTCAACTATGTAACTGTTACCGTGATGTCAGATGATGGAAGTGATATAACTAGTGGGCAGAGTACCTCTGGTTGTGTGTGAACTTGTTTTCAAGACTTTTATATCAAGGGGGGTATGTTCCTGCAGTAATTTTCTTATTGTGATTTGCTAATTTGCTGTATGGATAATGGGCTGTGTTTTTGAAAAAAAAGGGTGGGCTTTTGATTTCCATCTGCGAGTCTAATCAGCACAACCGCTGGAAAAAAACGATCAAATTGGCACAAACTTTAATGCCTTTAAATTTGTTCGGCTTGCTTGCGTTTTTACTTATATATGCAGAACTTATACAATTTGTGTGTGTCTGTTAGGTTTCCTTGGTTGTAGATACCTTGCAATTGCCCCATTCAATTACTGATATAGGAATGAATGAACTTTCACATTACTCTTTGCGTGCTGTTTAATTCTGTTTCTGAGATGGTTTCTTGATAAATTTGCCTTATCTAAACACGTTATCAAAGTTCATCCAATTTTTTATGGGGGGTCTTTGTGTGGAATCTTAGCTACCCATTTTACTTGTTGCAAGAATGTTTGACTTGTGAGGTGATCATGGTGCAAACGTGTCATTCTTATTCTTGTTGACTTGGGTGCAATGACCTGGCTCTCTGTTGATGAATGCATAATTGCACATGCATTCGCATATCTGTGATGACCTGCTAATGCTATGCTATCTGTTCGTGCCTGTGTCCACATGATGTTGCATGTGATGAAACAATTTCCTCGTAAGCCTAATAGTACAACTTACCGTAGCTTTCAGTTGACTTGTCATGAGTCATCTATGTTCTGGGACTAACCTGTTTATTTGATTATTGTAATCATCACGCTGCACGCCTAAATTGATTGTGGCCATGGCATTTTGAATTACTACGGAACAAAAAGATGCTGCATCCTACTCCCTCCATCCCATAATAGGTGACGTTTTTGACTTTTTATTTGCAACGTTTGATTATTCGTTTTATTTGAAAAATTAGTGCAAATATAAAAAAAGATAAGTCATATGTAAAGTATTTTTGATAATAAAGCAATTGACAAACAAAATAAATAATAATTCCAAATTTTTTTTAATAAGACAAATGATCAAACATTGACAAACAAAAACTCAAAAAGACAAGTAATATGAGACGGAGGTAGTATTTGGTACGGCATAAAATAGTCTGTTATAATGTGATATCTTACTGTGGCATGACCCTTTTTTTTATTTGTGCAATGAGTATTAGTTTGGACTTGGACATGAACTGATTTGAGGAAGTACTGATTTGAGCAAGAATAGCAGCCATTTTATAAGTTAGTAGAACATTTGAAAAGGTTCATAGTCGATAAACAAGCAGCATATGTACACCCAAAGTTAACATCACACTACAGGTAGATTACACGAAGATGGAAGGAAGCTAACACTGGAATCAACATTAGTGAGAATAATGTGCATACTTCATTTTCATCCTTTGAATTGTAAGTTTGTAACACTACAAATTGCGTCAGAAATGCATATAACACTATGCCAAAACTGAAGATGGGAATCTCAACACCCCCTAAAAACACAAAGAGAAGAAACTGGACTAACACATGAAAAATACAATGAACTGAATGAATGATTAGATCAATATGTACACCCAGAAAATAAAGGGTAAATTGGAACCATGTCATTATAATTTTGCAAAGTTTGAGATATGCCATCGGCATCTCAATGACATGTAGGACCCACATGAGTCAATGATATGTGGGTCAGAATAACATATCTTAAATTTTGCAAAATTATAATGGCATTGTTCCAATTTTCCCAAAAATTGGAAATGATGGATCATCTCTTCAGTCGAAGCTCGATGACCGGCTCCATCTCCCCTTCGTGTACTCCTCCAGCGACACGTTCGCCGCCGTGAAGTCGCCGCCGCCGCTGCTGACGGACGCCGAGTCGTCGACGACGTCGAGCAGCGCAAGGTTGATGTACGACTGGATGTCCTTCTTCTCCGGCGAAGCGCCATCGCCGTCGTCGGTGTCGTCGCCGGCGGACAGACCGGCCTGCGACCTCACCCACCTGACAGCGTCGCCATCGCCGTCGAGCAGTTTCAGAACCTAAACACATTCAGAGATCAGCAGCTTAGCAAGTTGAGAATAGCCGAATGACATGGCAATTCGGAGTAGTAGTTAGTCTCTCTCACATTTGCAATGCTAGGCCGGCGTTGCGGCGATCGCCGGATGCAGAGGGCGGCGGCGAGGGTCATCCTCTCGACCTCGCCGGCGACGCCGCTGCCGTCCGTCGGCAGGCTGGGGTCGACGAGGTCAGTGAGCTTTCCTCCTTGTATGATGGTGTTCGCCCACATGACGAGGCTCTCCTTGCCCTTGCCGCCGCCGGAGCTCACCGGCTTCCTCCCGGAGACGAGCTCGAGGAGGACGACGCCGAAGGCGTACACGTCGATCTTGTCGCTGACCTTGCCGTGCATGAAGTACTCTGGAGCCAAGTACCTGCCATGGAAATGCGAGCTTGATCACCTCAAGTTCTTTTCCTCACTTGAATTCTTCAAGAAGATGAGAAGAAGCAGCTGCAGCTACAAACCCGAATGTGCCGGCGACATCGTCGCCGGTGACCGGAGACGCCGCCTCCGCCGCCCAGAGCGCGAGGCCGAAGTCACACAGCTGTGCATCACGCATCACACAGGTTCAGATTTTTGCAGTGTTGTTGACAAATATCTCTGAAGAATCAAGAATCTGATCTGAAGAAATGTTTTTTACCTTTGGTTGGAAATCTTCAGAGACGAGGATGTTGGACGACTTGACGTCCCTGTGGATCACCGGCCGGCCGTCGCCGTCGCCGCCGTGGAGGTACACGAGCGCTCGTGCTACTCCGGCGGCCACCTTGAACCTCTCCGGCCAACCAAACAGATCTTTTCCCTCCTTTTCACCTGCACAAACAAAACAACAGCAATGCAACATCGATCAAGAAATGATCAAAATGTTCAGAGAATTCACATTTTATAACTTGTGAATTTACATTTACTCACCGTGCAAGATCTCCTCGAGGCTGCCTCTCGCCATGTAGTCGTAGACCAGCATGATCTTGGCGGCGCCGCCGCCGCCGTCGAGGCAGAACCCGGTGAGCGGCATGGCGTTGCCGTGGCGGACGGAGCTGACGATCTCCATCTCCGAGACGAGCTCCTCCATCACCTTGTCTGAAGATTTCAGCACCTTCACTGCAACCTCCTTGCCATCATCACAGCAACCCTTGTACACCTCGCTCGCCCCGCCTTTGCCGATTATCCGATCTGCGCGATCCCAATCCGATGCAATGGATCATGAATTCATTATCGTTTAGCTCAGTTCATCCGAAATTTTGATTTCTGAAGATGAATTTTCACATACATATGTACTAGGTTTTTTTTACCTGGTGAGAAGTTGGAAGTGATTCTTGCAAGCTCGCTGTAGCTGAACATGGTGTACTTGGATGAGTACTTGTTTCTCAGCGAGGCAAGCTCTTGTGCAACCTGCTCCGCCGCTTCATCGGTCGCCGGAGATGGAGTTTCCGATGCGGTGATGGCCGGTGAGGTCGCTTGGTCGCCGGAGTTGTTGCGTGGATTTAGCGGCGATGGCGCCGGACACCGGCTCGGCAGCTGCATTGCCCACCGCGCCACCGACATCTCCGTCCACTCTGGCAAGGCGGACTTCAGGTCCGGCGAGAGGAGCGGCCAGCCGGCGGCGACCTCCGCCTGACGTGGCGTGAACGCTACGACCGGCGAGACGGGGGCGCTCGTCGGCGTCGAGATGTTCCGGCGAAGGTGCCGGCCGCCGCCGGCGATCGCCGCGTCGTCCTGGGATTTCTCGCGGGTGATCGTCGTCGCCGCTCTGACGAGCTTCCGGTAAATCTTCCGGTAAATCCTCCTCGGCGTCTCCACCACTGCAGCAGAAGCAGCATTCCAACATTTTTTTCACCCAAATTTTTACCAAAACAAAAACGAATTGAAACAAAATTCACATAACATTGCAAATGGCACGAGTCTTCATGAACAAAAATTCAGAGAGAAATTGTGTGGGCAATTGGCAATAGCATACGTGGGCTGATGCACTGGTTGAGTTGCTGCTGCGCGGCGTCTCGCCTGTACACGACCCTGCCATTGCCGACGGCGAGGACCGAGCAGCTCGGAGGCACTCTCTTCGCGCAGTACTTCGCGACGGCGGCGGAGGAGGACGACGGCGACGAAGATGGCCGGAGATGGCTCCGGGAGTTGTTTGTGACGCCGAGGATGAGGTGCGCCGCGCCATAGGAGCTCGCCTCGTTCACGAGAGCCTTCTTGATGGATGATCCATGGCAGATTCTGAGCTCCAGGCTGATCTGAGAATGCGGCGAGGAATTCGTCAAGCGATCGAACCTGGTTGGGGGAGTGTGGGCGATGAACTGGAGTCGAGTCGAACCTGGTTGAGATCGCAGAAGCCGTCGTACGCGCGGAGCAATGCGGCGAGCGATTCCGTGGCTCTGATCCTCCTCGCCGCCATTCTCATGGCGCCTTCTTGATCGGCGCCGGCCGCGGCGGCGGGGGTGGCGACGTGGAGCGCGACGACGCGGTCGCCGGCGAAGGCGACCATGGCGAGCGCCCAGGTGAGCAGCTCCCTCCCCTCCGCGTCGTCCCGTACACCGACCACCACCGTCCTCCCTCCCCACCCCAGCCGCGGCGGCGCCGGCAGCGCCAGCATCGTCGGCGGCGCGCGCCGCGACATCGGCGACCTGAGCTTCATCCCGGCGCCGGAACACCTCTCTCTCTCTCTCGCCGGCGACGCTGCTCCGCTCTGCTTCGATTCTTGGATCGATCGGAGGAGAGAGAGAGAGAGGAGCGCGGTGGCGGTGGCGTTTATACGCGGGGGGCGTTCGTTGGCGTGGCGACGAAGCTGGCTGCGCGCGCGCTTGCGCGAAATATTTTAAAGCGGCGGCGCGCTGACTACGCCGTGTGCGGTGTGACGTAGGGGGAGGAGGAGGAGGACGGCGGCGAGGTTAACCGTTAACGGTGGCGGCGGCGGCGGCGTGCGGTGGCATCCGCCGCCGTGAGAAGGCGCGGGGGACGTGTCCGCGCAGGGACGGACAGGGGGGATTTTACAGTTTACTACTCTGCCTTGTCTATTACTCCAGCACTAGTACTTTGACTAGGCTATTTTCAGCCTTTAAATTTTTTTTGTTATTTTTTATTTAGCCTAAACAATTTCATTTTTGAACAAAACGAAATGAAGTAGGGTTATTTTCAGCTTTCACTTTTTAACTTGCAAAGCTAGACCAATAACATCTCAAACTACGTCCATAAACACTATTTTTTTGAAATGGTTATGTATTTCACTAATGCTGAGTATGGACATGGATTTTGAATTAGGGTTTGTGTTAGTTTGTATTAGTACATGGATAGTAACCACATGGTATTGTAGCAACGAACACTATTGGCTTGGCCCCCCTGCTACAGGTTAGGAATTAGAGACAAAAACAAGTAGTTTCCTTATAAATTAGATTGGTATGGTTCCTTGATACTAACTGCCTTCATCCTCATGGTGCAGAATTCCGTGATACGCGCATACGCGTCGACAAGAGAAATCGGTTTCCTGGAGGCACGCACACGTACAGTAACTAACTGTGTTTGTTTGGATATGACGGTAATTAAGTAAGATTTCCCTTTTCTTCGGTTGTTTTTTTTCTAACAGACTGAAAAACATCTATACGTGAAATCGAAACTTTCAGAAAAAAAAATATAACTTTCTATTGAAAAATTAAAAGCCATACCAAAAATTTCAAACTTTCAACTCAAAATTTGAAATTCTAAACTCAAATTTTAAAAGTTACTTTTCTACATTCGTTAGTAAAGGTTTGGAACCTTTATCAAAAACTGAGATAACTCAATAGTGTATGATTAATTATGTATTACCTAAAAAATTATATATTTTTTAGAATAACTTTTATATAGAATTTTTATATAAAAACATATTGCTTAGCGATTTGGAATGCGTGCGTATCAAAATCAAAGGAGTAGAAGTTAGGAAAGTGTAGTAAAGAATTAAGGGTTAATAATCTTATTATATAAACAATGCTCAATATATGAAGCTTCTCTGACTCTCCGAGGCACAATGCATAAGAATTCCAGCGCCTGTTGCTGATCCCATCCCATTATAACCTTAGTTACAACCACTCATCCCATACCCAAAATAGATACAAGATAGAAAAATATAAGGCAGAGCTAAAATTACTTGTTCGGGAATGGTTTCACCCCACTTCTTCTCCCCATCTTGCTCGTGGCTGATCCATCTACTTTCCCCAATTTCCCTCAAGAAAGCTAGCTCTTCCTCCAAAACCCAGCAATGGGGTGTGTGGGGATCGAGAAGAAAGATTGCTAGTAAGTTATTCGATCAACTTGCAGGAGCTAGCCGTGCAGAGTGTTATCTTGTTGCTGCACCTCTCCGGCCGGCCTCTCCAATAGAAAAAGGTAAGCTGCTATTCATTTTTACATCTGTGGCATGGTTCCGTGTTCGAATCTAGTCTTTGCAAAAGAACGATGTCTCCTGCCTTGTTCGAATCCATGAGCAGCCTCCTTCATTAGCTCATAACGCGCGTGTAGGCACAATTTAGGACTGTTCATCGGTGGTTTTAGGCACGTAAGCCCAGCCCAACCCATAAACCTTGATGTTTAGCGTGCGACCATCGATCTGCTTGAAGAAGAAAACTGATTGATTGATTGATTGTATTTCGTTTGTGTGGGACTCCAGGTGCAGTGACAATGGACTATCAGTTGGTCCCTTACCAAAGTTCTTTGCCCGTGGGTGAGGAACACTCTGGGATGCCTCCCCAAATTCATGCAATCGCTTATTGTCCAACGCCAATTAATGTCATTTGATTTCTACAACCAACGTAGAAGTTTGTTGGCCGTCAGCACTAGGTTAGGAATACAGATATGGGAGGCGGTCTTCGAGAGCTCTTCGCTTGGATGGACTAAGAAATTTGAAGCTTATTGTCCTGGTGTAAAGCATATGGAGTGGATGCCTAATAAGCTCGGCCTTGCGTATGGCGATGAAAGAGGATTGATAACATTATTACAATACAACAAAGAGCAAGGTTGCTTTAAATCCAAAATCATACATGACGTAAGTTCCCATTTATTCTCTTCTTACTAACTTACTAGATAATAATATTACTATATATCATCAATAATGATATTCAATACTTGCACGTTTGTTGCTTACTACAGAAGCCATCTAGAGGAGAAACAACCTCGATTTCATGGAGTGGGAACAGCTCTTATCTAGCATCAAGTTTTCACCCAAGAGCAACTGAAGATGAGACAAGCAACAGTATGATCATTATTCATAAGAGGGCAAGTGCTTCAAGAACAAATGAGGTGCAATCAATTGAGATGGAAGGCCGACCAAACCTAATAGCAAAGTTTCACCCTGTTCATAATTGTCTTTTCATAGCTAAGCGGCGGTGGGGATTAGACATCAAGGTAAAATTAGCTCCCCAATATTTTTATCCTCGTCGTTTGTGCACACATTAATTTGTTATTGTTTCATTATCTCCAGATCTTCTCGAACACAATCACTGGCTTTGAAAAAGAATCTGATAAGTGGGTTCAAGTTGCTTCCTTGTAAGTAAAATTTGTCAAGCTTATTAATTTTCTAATCAAACAACATGTCATATCCAATATTGCATTATTGTTGTATATAGTGATCACGACGGTGAAATATCTTCAATTAATTTCATCATTTCAAGTAATGGGTCGTCAAAATCATTTGCAATTGCTAGGTATGTTTTGCATTATAGCTAAGGTCTGTCATTGTTCATAAAAAAACAGATATTATAGCATAAAGGGAAATTGATTATATTTAAACCGTACTTCAGGGTTGATAACATAATATCTTTCTATAAATATGATCACTATTCCGGATCTGAGTGGACTCCTACAGCTAAGCAAAGGTAATTTCTAATTTAACTCATGTTTATCATAAAGTTTCTATTTTCATTAGTTTATTTAAATGATTTTAGGAGACAAAATATATTATAGACCAACTACCCATTCACCATATAATAATAGCATCCATAAATATGATAAGTTAACCCGCGGTTTGGTGATAGATGTGCCCCGAAATCTAAGAATTTGTGATATTTACTCGTAATATTTTATAGGACTTTGATATATAAATAATTGTTGCTATTGGCAGAGTTTCTTTCCAATACAAAGTGAACACTGGAAATCGATTCAAAAAAATTCTTTCCATGGGTTGCTACATAGACTCAACTATTGCAATTGGTTACACGGATGGTTCTATTGAGATCTTTACAAAGAAAAGAGGAAAAGTATGTGTTTCATGTTCTTCTTATTTGTTTAAGATATATCAAGATATTTTTTTTACTATTTATGTACTTGTTTACCTAAATGCAGTATGTTAGTGCTTTAAACAAGTACTGGGAGCATCATTGGTCAAAAGCTAAATGCTGGGCATCCACCATTCCTTGCCTATCCTGGCAATACAACGTAAGATTGACATCTTATTTATTAGTATTTTTAGCATACAATCATGTTTTGATACGTCATCTCACCATCATCATTTTATTTCAGACCGAAAAGACTCCTAAGGTGCTAGCAGTAGGAGGGGAACATGGTTTTGTTTTGTTCTATGATTTTATTGAAGCGGGGCCTTACACTGAAATACCAAACCGTGACTATGAATGGGAGACTAACTACTACAAATGTCCTTCCGAACCGTATGTACTATTAGAAGTGAAAACATTGTTTGTGTTTCTTTAATTAAAGTATTTATCACTTTTTAGCATATACTGATCCAAGTTTATCAGGGACGAGGAGGTCGAGGAGGAGGAGGAGGAGGAGGAGGAGGAGCCAACACATGATGTCACTCAAGAGTTAAACTCACAAGAAGAAGTTGAGCCTGTGAAGGGTATGTACAAAATTGGGGTCAGATTCACATAACTTAGATTAATTACTTAGACTAAACACTTTTTTCTCTTCATTGTATGTGCAGAAACAAAATTTGCTATCTGTCAACAGATTTTCTGTAGCAGAACAGTAAATATGGAAGATATCAAAGCCATTGGATTTAAAATGGAGTACACACTCATCAATTATAAGGTCACATTTGAGAACCTTGCTTATGTTGAAGCCAAAAAGAGATTAGTAAATGGAAAGTATCCCGAAAAGGTACGTTTGAGTAAAAGAGTCAGTCAGTTGTATTTTGAAATTCATTTGTTAAGTTTGTGAGTTATTCTAACACTTTTTCTGTGAAGGTTATTGTTGGCATGGAGCGCTGACTCTAGTTCGTTATAATTAGAGTTTGTGTTAGTTTGTCTTAGTACATGGATACTTGGATAGTACCCATATGGTATTGTAGCAACGAGCACTATTGGATTGGGCCCCCTGCTACAGGTTAGGAATTAGAGACAAAAACAAGTAGTTTCCTTATAAATTAGATTGATATGGTTCCTTGATATTACATATAATTACCACCTTTTTTGACAAATGGGTCCTTTTCAAAAACTTATTTTAAAACCAGACCATGGCAAAAACTTCACAAAAATAGGCCATCGGCTCAGCGCCAGCCATGCACTTTGACGCTGACCCCCCTACCCACATGGCGGCCGAGCCGATTCCCCTCGCCGGCGTGGCAATACTCAGCGCCAGCGCCAACCGAAATGGTGCTGAACCGTCTAACCTCAGCGCCAATGGGGGTTGGCGCTGAGCTAGGCTACTAAGGCCAATGCGGCCGCCCCACCCACCATCTCTCTTCTTCCTCTCCTTTCCTTCTCTCCCCTAGGGCTGCTGCCATGTAGTGCAACATCGTTGACGACAACCATCTTGGAGCCATTGCATATCTCAATGCCAAAGGGCTCATGCTGTGAGGACGTCGATGGGGCCAGCCAAGCCACTGCCATTGCTCTTTGCCTAGTCAAGGAAGTTGGCCTAGCTGCTGTTTGGGGCTGTTGAATCAACGTTGAGGACAACCACAACACCACCGATGGAATGGCTTGTCGACAACCATGCGTTTTTCTGAAGTTGCAACCATGGCCACCCCCTGCAGCTCGAGGATGAGTTGCCCAAAAGGAGGGATAAGATATTATGGGCGTGGAGCAGCTCCATTTAGTTATAATTAGGGTATGTCAGATACAAAAAAAAAACCATGGTATTACAGTGCTGAGCACTATTTGCATGGGCCTCCTGTTGTGCAGGTTAGGAACCAGATGTAAGAATAAGTAATTCCTTATAGATTAAATTGGTTTGGTTCCTTAATATTAGAGAAAGGTATTTTAGAGGTCAAGTTATTCCTCTCCATGGGATTGTATCTCTTTTGATTAAGCAAGAAACAAAAAATAGTTCCCTCCTCCACGGCCGCAGCTCTCTCTAGACCCCCGCAAACCTTAGACAAAACAACATCCACTCTATACTAACTGTCAGTCATGATATCATCTTTTACTGTTGCACTGTTTAATCTACTTGTTTAAATACTATATGAGATCAAATTTATCATAGTAAGAGTAATTTTACTTTGTTAGTTATATTCTAATTTAATTTATTCATTTTCTATTGAATAGATATTAGAATGGAACTACAACAGTGAGCATATGATCAGAGGTTTGATAATTGACAAGAAAAAGGGAAATATAATCAAGGTTAGCAAAACAAGTGAACTTTTTTTGTATACAAACAAAATAGACAATGGTTAATTGACTCTATCCACCTTTTTTGTGATTGAACATTAGGTGGACCACTATAATAATGTAAAAATGTCATACCATGGCATGAATGAGATGCCATATGAGGAATCAAAAAATGTTTATGGATCTACATTTATGTTTGAAGAACCTGAGTTTGCTGCCATGGATACAACTTTCTCTTGTTGTGAAGGATATCTATTTGCCCAACTCGTTGATTTGATGGATACCAATCCTCAAGAAGTGCCAGCGCCTACGTATGATTTTGACCAAACATTATTTATATAGTGAAAGCATTTCAATTTTCATTAACATTATTTCAATGTGATATTTGATGATGCAGCTACATGACTTTATACAAACATCTCAGGGAAGCCTTTGATCAGGGCTATAAAGATGGAACTCTTAAACAATCTGTGGCCAATGACCTTGCTAGGTATGAGTAGCAATTTTCAGTCATATGATTGGTATAATTCAAATAGTGCTAGATGTGGTACATGTAAGAAATTATGATCTAAGAATGAACAAGTCTATGCCAATTTCTTTACTATCCTAAATAGCACGACCTTTTAATTTTTGTTTGATTAAAAGGAGATAACTTGGGCTGCTATATATAGTTGTCATCTTCGGCTACAATCTATATCTAGCCCATCTCTAAGAAACAAGACAAACAAATAACCAGCCCTATAAACGCATCCTTGGCTACAGTTTATATCTAGCCCATCTCTTAACAAGCAGCCAAACAAATAACCAATCCTTTTATAGACTAATCAATTTTCTCCTGATCTGTTAACTAAGTTACGTGGAAAGCACAAATATTGAAATTCTCTTCATTGCCCCTATAGAGCACACTTATGACATGGGCTCGATCTGTCATTGATTTGCTACTTGAATATATTTCGCATGTTATCCATGGCACTAATTTTTGTAGTTTGAAACTGACAGGTACATCGATAAAGATCCATCACTTCTTCCAATGCTTCAGAACATTAAGAACAAAGGAATCTCCACGTTCTTAATAACAGATAGGTATGTGGTTTATGCATTTTCAAAATTATACCACTGTGATCGTTGGTTATCCCTTTAGTGCAGAATTGAACTACTTCAATGTTAGGGAAGCTTTAGGTATGGATTTAGCAAGAGAGATAGGTTTTGGGGCTATGATGAGCTACAGCTAGCTGATTCATCTTCTCATTTATAGCTGAAAGACAAAGATACACAACATCCTAGTGGCTTGCTTATAACTAAGACTCTTCACTTGACCCACTGACTTGTAGCCTAAGACTTTGACTCACTAGCTTACTCCCTAAGGAAAGCTATTCCCAAAGGAAAAGACCTGACTTATTAACTCAAACTAACTACAACAAGGATTATACTAACAAAGTTTTCAGTTCTTCTCATTCCACTTATTTTGTTTTAAGTGCTATGTCTTGATATTCAACATATGTGCCTGCTTTTGTAGTTTGTGGGATTATACTGACATTGTTATGGATTATGCGCTACATCAAGATAAAGTGAACAAACACAGCTGGCTTCAATATTTTGACATTGTCTTTACAGGAAGGTTTGGTGATGTCTATTTCACTTCTCTACTTCAAGTTACTCACATATTTTGTTTATATTTATTTAGAAAAATTTTTGCTTGCAGCCGAAGCTTTTTTAGTGAAGAAAGCCACGTGGAGCTGTTCGACGTGGAGATTGAAACCGGGAAAATTTCAAATCCTAAAGAATATCAGGTAAACAAAGTGATATTAAATAATCATCAAGATGGCTCTATTCTCTTGTGTGTGTAATCCATGTGATTCTTACGTAGTTGGGGAGATCGAAAACAAATCAAGCACCTAAGGAGATCCAGAAAGTATATCAGGTACCCTCTGTTCTCCCATTCGAATGTATGTAATAATCCTTATCATAATTATTAACTAGATAGATTGTAATTTAATGCCATTAATGCCATGTACAGTCAATGTCCACATGACTCAGACTCCCCATAATTCTCCCACACATACACACTCGTATCGAGTAACACCGCCAAGGGCAGTGTACATGCATGCAAAACCACCTCCCGTAAAGTCCAAGGATGAAAAATGTTTAGTTTGGATTGTCGAGGGATGGAATGATCGGTTTCGACTGGTATGACAATTGAGGGACGAAACTAAACCATTGCAAGAGTCAAGGGTCGAAAGTAGACTTTTTCCTCCTAGATAAGAGCATCAAGTTAGTGAAATGCTGCATAAAGTGTACATATAGTGATATTGTGGTGGCTATAGATAAACAAAGGAGGGGTAAATGAAGCTACACTACAATTATGAGGATAAGAACCCTGCCATTTATTAAGGACAATTAATATGACCGGTTGCATGCACAACAATAGTAGGTCAGGGAAGTCAGCAGCACATCAGCCTCGCTTTTCAGTGGAGGCATATTATAAGACTAATCAGGTAGCTGTAGTTTATTAGGTAAAGCAGGCTAGATTTTGCATGCTCATATTTGATTAAAACCGTAGGACTAATCAGGTAGCTATAGTTTATTAGGTAGAACAGGCTAGATTTTTGCATGCTCATATTTGATTAAAACTGTAGGACTTGCATATACTCCCAAATAAAAAGGAAAGGAGAGAACAGAGAAAGAAACCTCAAGAAATCAGACAAAAGCATTCCAATTGTAAATGACCTTGAGCTTACCCGAGCACTCTGATACCTGGTAACAAAGAATGCACAGAAAATGTTAGTTATGAAGCCATTGTTCTGTTACAAACTCTGAGACGAACCCAAAAAAAAAACAGTTGCAGCTAAACAAACCATGGGCCACATTTCATGTCACTTTTGTTCCGTACCAAATTCTTGTCTTGTTAGCATAATAGATTCATCCTGAATTCATTTACCCATCATGGTACTGTAATTATCACCAAATTTAGTCCAAAATAAGCCACATACTATGCATTACGAGAATAACATCTTATAACTTTATTACAATTGCAACTTAGTAAGCTATTGTTTATTTTGAGGCACTTTTCGGTTTTTTCAGGGAGGAGATGTTGGACATCTTCAAAGATTATTACCTAATACCAATGACCCCAAGCAGGTATCATCTTTGCCCTATCACAAAATTCAATTTACTTTAGATATAGTTGGTATACATAGAGTTTTTCTTTTTCATTTGATGATATTTAGGAATGTTTTCTTACAAACAGTCTAACAATGCAAAATTCTTCACGATTATATATAGGTTCTGTATGTGACACATCATATTACCAAAGAGATGCTCAACAACAAGGCCCAAGGTATGTGCTATTCACTTGCTATTTTTAGGTGACCTAGAATATGGTGGATGTTATAAACTTGACTGAATATAATAGTTTGGGTCTGTTAGAGGAAGGGATTATTATACTATCATACATCATCATGGAAAATCATGATGAATGGGTGCCGACTCTAGCTGGCACCAAAACAGCCACAATACATGCATCTGGGAATGATCAAGCACAAGGTGGTACCCAGGCGTATAATTGTACTTTTGTAGCAATATCCCAAATTATCCTCTCCTGTTTTAACTCTAAAAATAGGAGCCAGTGAACATAGCTTTACGAGTTATATACATAAAGAGTACTCAGCAAAATCAAGTGACAACCATCATTTTCCTTAACACTTGATGTGCATCCAGCACAACGAAAACTGGAAGAAATTTTATATGCTTGAAGATAACGATATAATGTGTTTTGTTTTTATTCCATTAGTCTGGATTTTTCCATTTATATTATTTCAGTAATAATTGGTCGTGCTGCATTTTGTAAGGTTGGAAGACTATGCAAATTATACCTGAGCTGGAAAAGGAATTGCAAATTATCAGAGAACAGGGGTCAATTCGACAGGTATTCTTTTTCTAAAAAAAATAAACACAAAATTGCTACAATGTTTCGGACAGATGGTTAGCCCATTTCCCCTCTCAAAGTGGAGATCAGTACATGTTCTGATGTTTTTTGCGTGAAAACTTAAAAGACATTCTCTCCTACTGAGTGGTTCTCAATATGCTTACATGCTACAATGATTAAGGGTGATTCAGATGGTAACATGAAAAATATATTGAATAAAATGTCTAACCAATATTTAATGTCTTCTCTATTTATTGTTCATTTATGGATTATCTAGAGTAGCATGCAATCATTCTGTTTGTTAGCTTCTGCTTAATTGCTTATGGCTTGTTCTTTCCAATTTGGACTCTCCAACACAGATTATTATTCGTGCCAGAGTGAAATCAAATAGTGTAGAAGATAAAATCTGTATGCTCAGAAGCACCACTGAGTAAGACAATAGTGTTGTTCATTCTACTTTCTTCCTATTCAATATTTTTTCTCTCTCGAATGATTTTGCAGCAAATAAGTAATTGTGTTTTTATTTTGGACAGGGTTGATGTAATGGAGAAAATAAACAAACTGACCAGTGAGAAGAAAGAAGGGAATGGACAGCGAACGTGAAACTGCTGAAAAGAGGCTAGCTTCAAAGGTAACTTTGCACACTTATTTCAACCATCTGCGACGCTATGGTAGTTAATTTAGGAATTAGTATCAGCTAACAGCAGATTGTTTTGTTTTATTTCAGTTTAATGATAAATGGGGTCCAGTTATGAAGGCTGGGAATAAGAATTCCCGATTTGCTCGCGAGGTGGCATTTAATTTGTTGAGATTTTGTTTTGAGGTGTTATACAACAGTTACCATTAGCAGTTGACAGTTTCTCTTTTGGCTTTATTCCGTTTTCGCAGGTAGAAAGATCAGCATGGTTATATACCAGCAGGGCGTCAAACTTGGCTGCTGAGAGATGTTATGAACAATCAGACCAGTTGATGGCACATGACTCCGATTTGTTGAGCTTCCATTTGGGCAAGGACTGAAGCAGTTTATAGCCAAACTAGGTCGATCTAGCTTCCTTGTAGGCAAGGACTGATGCAGTTTATAGCCAAAAAAATGGGATCAACCCAACCCATCCCGGTTCTTTTTTTTTGGGGGACAAAAAGAAAAGGAAGTGATAATAGCCAAACTAGGTCGATCTAGCTTCCTTGTAGGCTAGCTAAATGGATGATACTAGTTGTGATCTAAACGTTAATACAACGAAAGTCCCAAGGCCCAAATTTTGGATTTGCAAGTTTTTGGTTCCATACATACCTGGATCGGAAAAGATCCACTGGATCTGGAGCACCCTTCTCAATGCCTGTCTTCAACTCCTTCCCCGCTCACGCTCAGACTGCTTCGCAAAGGTCGAAGGAGGCTTGATCCGCCGCAAACAGCGCCGGTTAAGCAATCCCCACCCAAACCACGACCACACACATCGACGGGGCGCAGATCGAGCGATGATGAAAGAACCTCGACCCCACGTTAATTCGGGGGCGAAGCCGGGGAATTCAACTATTCGCCGCTACTAGGTTGGGAAAGCAGTAGGTTCGTCAATTGTCCAAATAACCCTCTATCTGCCTTTATTTTTTTCCGCTCTAGGACGGTGGTTTCTTAACTATTTACCACTTTTACTCACGTGGCATGCTAACATGGCAAACCAGTGTAAAAATCGATGTAGGACCCACTTCTTAGTCTCACAACCCCTCATTCCTCTCCCCCTCTGGTCCAACTAGTGTCGCCAACAACCAAGCGTCGCCCACTCCTTCGTTGGCACTGTCGCTAGCCATGGCTCCAGGCCACCAGACGTCAAAGATCACAACGGACACGACAGGTGTAGGGGCTCTCGTTCCATAGGATGAGCCGCTCGAGGCGCGGGGCGACGACCACAGCGAGCTCGACGAGGTTAGGAAAGACGTTGGCGTCGGGGAGAAAGTGTGCTCGATGTCAGGGAACAACCTCAAGAGGCCAAGGTAGAGGTGGCGGAAGGAGGCGACGCGGAGATCGGTAGGTAGGTCGACTCGTACTGGCCAAATGGGAAGAAAGATGAGGACAAGCTCCTGGACACCCTTGGCGGCGAGGACGTAGAGCCAGCTTAAGAGCATGGCGGCGTCACAGGAGCCTGCATAGTTGCAGACGTCCGGATGCGTGGCGAAGACGCAGTAACGGCTTGCGCAACGTCGCGCCAGAGGATTTGAGGACGACCGCCACATGCGCTCGGCTGGACAGTGGCAAGCTGCTCGACGTCCGGCGGCCCGGAGCCATGGTTGGCGAACCACGGCGACGCCGAGCGCATCTTCGTCGCTAACTATAGAAGTGGCTGGCGACAGCGCCGGCGGAGGAGTGGGCGGCGCTTGAATGTCAGTAGGGCTGGCCGGACCGAAGGGAGATAGGAAGGATAAGTTGTAAGAATGAGAAGTGGATCCCACATCGATTTTTACACTGAGTTGCCATGTTGGTATGCCACATGGTCAAAAATGGCAAATAGTTAAGTATATGGACTCTAAACTCTTTTTTCAATATTTTTTATTTTTTTTCATTTAAAATTTTAGTTATTTTTAAATTGTATTTCTGGACTCTTGTTTGAATAGATTCTTCTTTCAATATTCATTATTTCTTAAATCCAAATTTTAGTTATTTATAAGTTATATTCCTATATGGACTCTATACTCTTGATTTTTAGGTAGAGTAAATTTCAGAAAACTGCAACTTTAGTGACAAAACTATCAGTTTGCTGCAACATTAGCGACATGTGACAACTGTAGCAGCATATAACGTAAAAGTTGCAGTTTTGTGATAATTTCCCACGCTATTGTTGCAGCAAACTGAAACATGTCGCTAATGTTGCAGCAAACTGATAGTTTTGTAACTAAAGTTGCAGTTTTCTGAAATTTACTCTTTTAGTTATTTGCCTTCTAAATTATATTTCTAAATGGACTCTAACCTCTACATTTAATTTTTTATTCTTTAATTCTAAATTTCAATTAATTCTAAATTCCTATATGGACTCTACACTCTTCTTTCTGTATTTCATTTTTTTATTCTGAATTTTATTATTTATAATTGTATTTATGTATGAACCCTAAACTCATCTTTAAATATTTATTAATTTTTAATTCCAAATTTTATTTATTTCTAAATTGTATTTCTATACTAACCATAAACTCTTCTCTCAATATTCCTTATTTTTTTAATTTCGAATTATAGTTATTTCTAAATTGTATTTCTATATGGACTCTAAACTTCACTTTTGATTTTTTATTGTTTATTCTGAATTTTAATCAATTCTAAATTCCTATATAGACTATAGGCTATTCTCCCAACATTCCTTAATCAAATGAATTTTTGTTATTTCTAAATTGTATTTCTACGTCGACTCTAAACTCTTTTTTTAATATTTTTTATTTCAAATTTATCGTTTCTAAATTATATTTTGTATGTACTCCTCTTCTTCCAATATTCCTTATTTTTTAATTTCAAATTTAGTTATTTCTAAATTGTATTTCTATATGGACTCTAACATCTACTTTTAATTTTCTTATTTTTTAATTCCTAATTTTAATTAGTTCTAAATTGTATACCTATATGGACTGTAGTCTCTTCTTGCAATATTTCTTATTTTAAATTCCGAATTTCAGCTATTTTAAAATTGTATTTCTATATGGACTTTATTTTTCTTTTACTCTGATTAATATGAGAATTTCTAAGCCGTGCCAGCGAACGTGAAGGCTCCTTTTTCTATTACTTTAATAAGTTAATTGATTGCATTGTGAATATGACATTTTCTTTTGAATTTGTGATGATGGAATTGCATTGTAAATTTGTGAATTGGAGGATATTTGGATCTAGGGCCTATTTGGTTTGGGCGGAGAAAAAGAACGCCACAGATTTGATAAAGGAAAAACATAGCGAGTATGCAGAAGCATGCCTACCAAGTTGCGGCAAACCTATCATGAGTAGAAAAGCAAACATCAACCTAAGCCTATCGTTACATGTCTAACCTTAGGTTTGACAAAACGTGGCCAAGAACCGAACATACCCCTAGTTTTCTTTTGTTTCTCCCAAAAAAAACCTTTTTACAAAGGGGTGACTTGAGAGATTTTTTGAAAGGATGAGTATGTGATTAATTTTTTTGTCTAAATATGACGAGGTTTTTTAGTCCAACGGCATTGACGGAAAGCGGCTAGAAAGGAAAAAATACGTTAACATTTTTAGACTAGTAATTTGCCCGTGCTAACGCTACGGTAACATTTGTTAATGCAGCCCAAACAATTAAAAAAGAACATGTTTTAACAATCGCAATATACATAACAATAGATATTTTTCCCCTCTAGGAATTACAACCAAAATTTCACATCTAACAATCCTTGTAATTTATCTCCGATCCTTATGTCTTTAGCTGTGAGTCCTTGAATTTACATGCATGTAATTCTTAGATAGTTTGCCTTCTTTTATAAATGGTTTTACACACAACCTCTAGGTTATGGGCTAACCATCCCATCACCCGTTGACACATATTCTCTCTGTCAAAAAAAAAATCTCAATCATGAGTTTGAATCATTTGTAAAAGAGTAAGGAAGGAACAATCACAACATGAAATTCAAAGCCCCGATAGTAACCTAATATGATATATCGAAAGCACACCACCAAAACAAAACACCAACTTGCAAAATTACTCATGAACAATGTGTTTTTTGGTTTTTTCTTACCACGGTATCAGTTGGCCTAAGAAACGATAATTTTTAGACATCAATAAATTATCTGATAGACTATAGCATATACTCCCTCTATTTTTATTTAGATGATGTTGGTTAGTTTCATTTTGAACTAACCAACATCAAATAAAAAAATAAGGGAGGTAGTATGATTTAGATCCCTATTGGATGCCTACAAAGCCAAAGCTAAAACCAAAATTTAAAATTTAAAACTTAATTTGAGGTTGCTTTTAAGATGTTTTAAACATAGTTTCTTTCCAGCATGGCTTTTAAGTTTCTAAAACACATATATAAAGGTTTTACATATAAATTATTTGTTAATCGCTAATAAAACACATGTTTTACTTATAAATTATTTGTTAATCGCTAATAAAACACACTGCATTTTTGTCCTCGCTTTCAACGGAAAAATAAACAAATTCATTGTTAACAGTGAACGTTGTCCTCGCTTTCAACGGAAAAATAAACAAATTCGTTGTTAATAGTGAACGGGCGAGAAACCTTAGGCCGTCTCCAATGGGCAGCTCTTAGCTAGCTCATAGAGTTTTTTAAGCGATGAACAGGACGCGCTAGCTCTTCTTCAAGTGCTAGCTCGCACGCTCATCAAGGCGGTGCCCTCTCACAGGCACGCTCGCCCAGGCAGTGGCCGGCATTGTGCCGAGCGCGTATGAGCTAGCAGCCGACTCATACCGCTGAAGAAGGCCTTATAAGCAGGTGAAGCTGCGGCTAGGAAAGCGAGGTGGGACTGAATCACTGAACTGCTACAGCGCCGCGATGTACTGTAGCGCTGCTGCTCTACTATGCCTGCTGCTACTGTTCTGCTGCTGCCTTTGGCCCAAGGCCAGATGCTGGGCTGCTTTGCTCTTTTTCTTTTCTCTTTTTCCTCTAATTATTGCGGAGCGTCACATGATGAGGCCCTTAATTAGGCATTACTATCATTCTCAGTTCAATTAACACCAGTTCTTCTCTACATATACTCTTTTTAGGTATCAATAAATCGATATGCAAGCTTCAGTTTTTCTACATATAATCTTTTTGAAGTTAGTACAATCGCAACTATTGGAATAGTAAAACATCTTATTTGCTGTATTTCATACATTGGCACCAGCATAAACCTCGATATTTAAAATTAAAGCAACTTACTTGCCCACAGTTGTCAAATACATCAGCACTCCGTCACCTAACCTAACAGATGCTCAGCACCATTAGACCTAACAACTTGTCTAGAATACATATGCATGCTTAAAAAATCATCTAACTACTCACACAGTTTGGTCAGTTCGCCGAATGATGTTTTCCTATCTGCATGCCTTGCTCTCTTGTTCGTACTCCTCCTTTCTTGACTGATGTATCCATTCCTCCTGTCAGAAAGGAAAAAAAACAATCATAACATCCTACTCAGACCATGTGTTAATCTTCCTTTTTCCATGGGCTTGTCAACTCGAAGCTTAATTCCTACAAGCAGCTGATCATCTGTTAAATCCTAGTCAAATCAACAATAAAACGTAAGCCCAGCGACAGAACAATAGAAACCTTGAAAGGGTGTCTAGTCTAACCGCTCACCAATTTGGTAGGAAATATTGCTAAAGTTCTGAGAATAAGTTGTCCTAAATCCTAACAACATCTTATCGCATCAAAATTGCTGGCATAAAGATTCTGTTTAGCAAGTTTGGGCTTTCTTTCACAAATCTGGGTATTAAATCTACCTGCATTTTGATACAAAAACTTGCTGGCATAATACAGAAAATGCTTACACTGATCGCATAGGAATGGGTTTAAGAAAAATGTACCTTCATTTCCCTGAACACAACCTTTGTAGGATATGATAAAACTCATCAGATACCTAAATGAATGAAATAGTATAACAGGATGGTCAAAATTAGAATGAATAGCACAAACAGCAACTGTGAACATTTTGCTTTTTACCTGACCGCTCCCAAGAAGGCAGTCTTGCAGAAATGCAGGGAGCTTCCTCAATTGATCCACCATCAAGGAAAGCAGTGGACTCAGCACCAGCATCTATCCAGATAAAAACATTGAAGGCATCTGAAACAATAGTCCCATTAAATGTTCATCACTGAATTATATAACTGCGATAACTCAATTTTTGCTGCATATCTAATAGCAGATATTTTTGTTATATCAGTATAATGAAATATGCCATGATTTGTTCAAAGGGCATAAACAATTTTCAGTGCAAGGAAACCTAAAAGGGTTTCTATTGTCAACTTTATTAAAAACTAGGAAGATAGCCCGCGCATTCGCGCGGGCATGTGTCGTAGACTATGTTTGAACATCTACAATATATGATTTCTCCATAAATTGTTTTCATTAGCATTGCTTTATAATTTTCTAACCTAGCTATTAGTTATTTTTATAACATGTCATATTTAATTAATCCCTACAAGCAATTATTTATAATATTCTTCATCATCTAAAAAGTAGGTAGACATATTTTGTGTTAGAAAACATGTATAGCAAATTAAGTGTAAATTCAAAAGTAAGGTGTTTTTTTAATTGAATGTAGGTTGTCATTGTTTGTTGACGGATGAATTGGGTGGGATATGAGGCTCCACTAAATGCATGGGTTTATATAGTCTAATATTATTGTTTAGTTTGAGAGAGAATCCATATGTGAACATTCTATGTAGAGTGTGGGTGAGACTCCATGCAACTTAGCGTGAATAATATTGGATGAAGAAATATAGTTGTGCAATATATTATTTTGGAAGATGATGTATTATGAATACACACTTGTCTTTTAATATGAGATAAATCTAATGGCTGGAAATAATGGGTTCATCAGTTTAAAAACGCCTAGGAGGATTTATGGGGTAACATGTGGAGACTTTATATAAAAAAGAAACCATCATCTAAAATCGATTAGATGATATATAAAATAAAATTATAAGTATAGCTTAAAATTATGGTCTTTTTAATATTTGTTTCTCTCTTTAGTTTAGTAGCTGAAAATAGGGAGGAGACTGGAGAAAAACGAATAGAATAGAACTCGAATCAGGTATAAGAAAGGGTTCGCAGTGTAATAGTGTTATGTGCATGTGATTGGAGAGGGAGGTGGAGGGTACATTATTTTTTTTTCAATCTTTTGTAAACAATCTAAGTGAGAACCTATGATTTGTTGTTTTCTCATTCTAAGGATCTTTAAGACAAGACATGTGGTGGCTTAAGTTTTTTTATAAAGAGAAAGGTGATCTAATAGTTAAAAATAATAGGTCATCAAATTAAGTGGAAACCAATGTATAGATATATACTCCCTCCATCCACACATATTACTTTTGTCACCAAAACCAAGAAAATATTAAATCATCTTGGATGTTATAAAATCAAGGAGTAAATGCAAGCATGCAAGTATGCAACCAATGAGTATTTAGATGACTCCTCCGGTTCTAATCAAACATTTAATTTATCTCTTCATTTAAGTCTTAAATACATAAAGACTATAAATAGGAACAACTTATTTGGAAAAACTCAAATGTGAAATATGTCTAACTTTTGTGGATGGAGGGAGTACTTTATTTTTTTCTTTGAATTTCAATTTTTCAAAGTTTTAAAATATCATACGTGGTGACTTAAGGGTGCTATAGAGCATGTTTAATTGATCTTTACTATGCAAAACGATTCAAGAATATCTAATATGTGTTGTCATGTTTTTTAATGTTTTGTTGTTATTTGGTAAGGAGATTTTTTTTTATTGAGGTAGATTTAATGCGTTCATCTGTTTGGATTATTTATGTCTTTAAATCCAGTTTTTAAAATTATAACTCCACTGATTTAAATGAAAATTGATGAAATTATAAGTCCACCAATTTAATTGAAAATTGATGGTTAGAAATGTTTTCTTCATAATATTTTTTATAATTAAAATTTTTATTTATAAAAAAGGAAGGTGAGAGAAAGAATTATTGAAGATGGAGAAAGTGTATATATGTATACTTACATGCGTGGGGTGGTCGGAAGGGTGGGCCAGTGGGGAGAGGAGAGTTATGCCGGTGGGAGACAGGCGATGGATGTGGATTGTGGTTTTTTTAAGAAAAAAAGATAAATCGAATAGTCGAAAATAGATGGTTTACCGATTTATTATAATTCCACGTGACGGTTTAGTAGTGTTTATAGGCGTACCACGTGGTAGTATAGGAGTGTTTGTATACCTTTAGTATATATTTTTTTTATTTTTAAATGGTAATTAGGATGACATGCCCTATAAATTATTCTTTTCCGTAGAAGTTTACCACGGTTGAATCATTAAGTATTTTAAAGACACCATGGATCTAAATTTAAATGTGTTCGCAAATTTGATGATTAAGATAAATCTAGTAGAGCTTAGCAGGATGAAAACACGTGCACACCCTCATTTGTAGCAGACCTAATTGCTAATTGCATTGATAATCCCTAGCAAGAATAGGTTAGTCTATTTGGATAACCACATTAAAGCAAGCAGCACGCACGTTGAAAACATATTCAACGTTTTGATTTATCTGCATCTTTATGGTTTATTATACTCCCTCAATTCCAAAATATTTGACGCCGTTGACTTTTTTTAGTCATCTTTGACCGTTCATCTTATTCAAAAAAAAAATTAAGTAATTATTAATTCTTTTCCTATCATTTGAATTCTATGTATATATATAGTTTTACATAATTCATAAAATTTTTTTTGAATAAGACGAACGGTTAAACATGTTTAAACAAGTCAACGTTGTCAAATATTTAGGGACAGAGTGAGTATAATTTAGTGACTTAAGATTTTATATGGGGTTGCTAGCAATAAAGTAGGAAATTCACGTACTTAGCACAGAGGGAGGAGTACGTATATATAGAGAGAGCAGATTTCTTTTTTATTGGAAACAGATCCTTGAGATATATCTAATTGTTAGAAATAATAGATTCATCGAGATATATCTAATTGTTCGAAATAATAGATTCATCGGTTTATAAGTTATAACGGATGGTCAGATTTTTTTTTCTTTTTTCTCATAATTTCAAAGATTTTTTCTAATTTATTGGAGTGCGACATGACAGTTTAGGAGAGTATGTAGGATGTCACGTGGCGACTTAAGTGCATTCATATGAAGTTTAATGGACTTGTGCGTAGAATACAACTTGAAATAACATTATATTTTTTTACAACTATTAGCTGAAATTATTAATTTGGTTTTTATCTCTCATGAGTGAAAAAAAAGAAAAAAGAAAAGAAGGGAAGGGGGGACACGTACGTACGAAGTATATACGCACATGCACGTACACGTACGGATGGACCGATATAGAACGTGGTGCTTTCTAAATATAAATCTATCTATTTGGTATTTTTTAGTTAGATCTAATGGTTAGAAAATATGGGTCCCCCAGATTAAATGAAAATCAATGGTTAGATATTTTATTTTTTTCCCAGAATTTCCCTAATTTATTAGAGCGCCACTTGGCGGCCTAGGAGCATTTGTAGGGATGACATGTGGCGGCTTAAGAGCGTTTGTAGGAAGTTTAATGGACTTTTAGTATATAATAGATAGATAGATTGAAGCATCTAAACTCTATATGTGTATTCGCAGATAAATGCAATAAAGTTATTTTTTTATCAGAAAAATGCACTCTAGGTCCACTGACAAAAGGCACAAAGCAAGAGGTCAATATACCAAATGCCCAAATGCGTAATCTGAAATAAGGCAAAAGGTTGAAGTAGTCGTTGCAACGATGAACGATCCATATATCTCGATATTACAGTGAATCGCTCAGCTGCAGTGCACTTTGGATCATGGCAGTATCTTCTACTCCGTACAACTTTATAGAAACTTCTGAGAGACAAAAACACACAGGGGGCATGTGCAAAACAACGAAAAAGGATTGTGCTGATGGTGTCACCTGTACCATGAAGAAATTTGATGTAGGTTATGGTTTCCAACAGGACAGACGCTGTATCTGTCTGTCAAAATGAAATAGGTAATGATTAACGACCAAAAATTGAACAGAAAATACTTTTGCTTCTTACATTAGTTTGGAAGCATAAAGTGTGCATTTAGTGATCTCATACCTTCCCGAAAGGTGACATAATCTGCTGCAAAGCCATGATCTTCTCCCCCAGGTTCACTTTGGGCGATTGATGCTGCGTGTGGTTTCGAAACAAGTTTTTCAAATGCTGACTCCTCAGTTTGCAAAGTCAATCCACTATTCTGCCATATTGTTAGTTACTAAAACTTGGGAGATGATGTGCCATGTGAAGTCTCTGACTTGAACAGACGCTTTGCCTCCCCCTCTTACCTCTGATTTTTTCTTGTTAGGATCACTTCCACTGCTACTACAAGACCTTGCCTGAACGAATTGTATATGTAAGTTTTTTCACACCGGCTATACATTACAATTGTTCAATCTTACCAGCCATGTAATTTCTTGCTCCCTTGTGTCTGTAGACATCAATTCTTCTGCGGTTGCTGACCTATGGCCACTGAAAGAGCTGACGTCCGGAGAAGTTCTCATGCAAAACGAAGCCAATAGAACAAACCATAAATCAATATGACGCAAGAAACCATGAAACTAAATGCAAAGGAAAAGAAGGAAGTAACAGAGGTAGACCTTCAATGTACTTGAAGATCCCTTCTCCTCCCCCATAAGCTATAGGGCATGAATCAATCACGCCGCCCGTCGCGCCCATCCCGCTATAGCGACCTCGCCGGTCGTGACCTGCACGAAGGCCGCTCGCCACCCGTTGCATCCGCGGGAAGAAAGGAGATGCCATGCGAGCTAGGGTTAGGGTTTGCGCGAGGAGGCGCCAGGCGAGCTAGGGTTAGTGTTTGCACGAGGAGGCGAACCATCGGCCGAGGAGGGCGAGGGGAGGGCGGAGGAGTTTGCGAGGAGGGCGGCGGGATTACGGAGCTTGTCCCGTTGTCCGGAGATGTCGAGGGTGGGCTTCGGCGGTGCCGGTCGATTGCAGCGCGGAGGGGGCGGTGTGGTCCCCTAGGTGGAGGCGCAGAGGAGCGGCGAGGCAGCGGCTCCGGTCGGCAACGGCTTAGATCGGCGATGAGAGCGGATGGCGATGGAGGCGTGATTTGTGGAGGGATCGGGGTCGGGAGGTGCGGGAGGGACTCTCCGCGAGAGATGAGGAAGGGAAGTGCGCGAGAGGGAGAGAGGGAGGTGCGGGAGAGGATGCGGAGGGGGTGTGTGGACACGCGCGCTGATTTGGGACGTTGGATCGGAATTTTTCAGATGGGTTTCGACCATTGGATGTGTGACATGATGAATGATGAATGAGTAAAACTATTTGTTAAACTATATGGTAGATGGAGGAAAAAAAACTGCATTTAAGTAGAGTGGTACTGCATGGACTATGACCGTATAGGAGGCAGAGTCGCGGTCACAGCCTCCCACCGTCGAGAAATCGGATATTGTGCTATTTCCAAAAACTGGTTTCGCTGGAATGTCACTCTGCCGAATCGATTCTTTAAAAAACATCCCCAAGCGTTGCCCAACATTTTCTTTGCCACATTCGCCATTTTAACTGATTTGCGGTTGGTTTCGCATTTGGGCTGACGAAAATGCCCTTAGGTCTGTTTCTTCTACCTGAGGTGTAATGAGAAGGCTTCACGGGCTCGGGAGGCGGCGCCAGCAGCAGCCGCCGTCGTTGCTGCTCTTCCCGCCACCGGCGAAGAGGGCCTCCCCGCCATCATCATCCTCCCGCTATCCTCCGCTGCATCCTCCCTGCCAACCGCCTCTTCCGCCTGCTCCTCCTCCTCGCCGCCCTCTCCCTCATCCCCCGGCCTTCTTCCACTTCCGCCTCAGCCGCCTCCACCGCAGCAGGCCACCCCATCGCCGAAAAAGACGGTCCCACCGCCGCTGCCCGCGCAAAGCTCTCCTCCGCCCCTAATCCTCCGCCGTCGATGCAGGTGCCGCTCCCTTCCACGAAACTCTCGGCCCTAGGCCTCCTCCGCCGCCAGTGCAGGTGCCATCGCTGCAATTCGAGAAGGCGCAGGCGAGGCCCGATGGATCCACCGCCCGCCGCCGCCGTGGTGAGCAGCTCATCGACGGCCATGTCGCGGGCACTCAGCGACGTGCGAAGCCGTAGGTTCCGGGTGCTACCGGGCAGGCAAAGTGCCAGCATGCTCGGTTGCTGCGGCCAAGCGCCGCCGCCCACCCCGCTCCCTCCCCCCTCATCCCCTGCCGCTGACGGCCGAAGGCGACAGCGGCGGCGTGAACGATGACCCCGACGACAACAGCCTCATCCCTATCACCGTTGCCGCAGCAAGCATGTATAGCAGTCGGAGCTCCTCCAATGGTGTGGGCAAAGATGCAAACGCGGTGGGCGAGCGGTTGCGCGGCCGGTTAGTTCAGCCGAGGTAGAAGAATCAGACCGAAGGGGTATTTTGGGTAGCCTAGGTGAGAAATTAGGTGAAAATGAAGAGAAATGGTTCAAATGGCAAAACAAATGTAAGCTTACTCTTGTGTGTGACATTTTAACGACGTCATTTCGTGAAATGGCATTGTGATGAAGCCCACTCTTGACAGTGGCGTAATGTCCAATTTCTCCCCACCGTCACACGGACGGACGGATATGACGATTTCTGTTTCCCGCACTCAAAATTCAAAATCTGGAATGTACTAATTGGACATATTTGACCTAAAAAGAATTCCAGTCTTCCGCCGCGTGGACCCGGAGTACTACACTAGATTTGTTGTGGGGTGTGTGGCCTGGCAGCTCTGCTCCGCCACTAGAGGAAGAAGAGTCCATCGCCCCGCCGCCGCCACCGCCGCCGCCTTGCGCCCCCATCACCAAACCCTAACCCTAGCCTCCAATCGAGTAGGATCGAGCCCGGCCGCCCGCCGGAATGGCGGAGAAGGGGAACCGATTCGCTCTCCTGGAGCACGGCTGGGACCTCTCCGGCGACATGGCCGTCGACAACATCCTCGCGTCCCAGAACGTCGGAACCCAGCTACGCGCCTACCCTCCTCCCATCAAGTACTTCGAGGCCTTGCTCCGCCAGGAGCACGCTGAGCTGCTGGAATATGTCGACGACGTAGATCGCGTCGTCGCGCTGCTCAAGCCGCTGCCGCCACCAAAAACTGTCAGATACCCTGGTAAATTACTCAATCCATCCATCTGCCATTCTGTTCGATAATTTCTGCTTCTTCTTAATTGGAGTACTCAACTGCACAATAAATAATAATGTGACTGGTCAGTTCTTTTTGAGCGAGCGTGGGGATTCGGCAGACTATTTCCTTGCGATGTGACGGATGAGTCTCCTCAGTATCATGCCTACCTCCAGGAATTCTACAGACGCAATTGCAGTGCTCCTCCATCTGTTGCTGCCGCCATCTCGCTGGTAATCGCTTCTTCTTTCACTCTGCAAAGCTGGATTAATTTGGTTAAATCTAGCTAATTGATACATAGGAGGACTAGCTAATGTATATAAATAGATAATACTTTTACCGATTAAGGTAGGGACTCTTGAGCTTCATTTCTCACCAAATGAAAACATATACAAATCATCCATCATTCCTTTCCTGTATATATAGTGTCTGAAGAATGAGCGCATCTTGAGGTCTGAGTGGCAGAATCGAGGTGTCCAAGTCCACCCTTACAACCTCAGCCTCAGTGACAACATTCTAGAATGCGCTTCAAACCTTGTGGACAAGATGAACGCCGAGTCTGCTACTGTCGCCTACGCTGCTTTAGTATGTGTCCAAACTCTTCACTTCCATCTCCAGCACCTGCAATTTGTAGTTTTGAAGCTCCTAATTACTAGTTTCGCTGTTGTATGTGCATCATTTGCAAAACGATGGTTAATTCCAAGTGTGTCGCCAAGGAGGCTGAGCTAATGGTTCAGCGGCTGCGTCTAGGAGATCGCATCTACGTGCACTACAGTGATCGCAACCTGAGTACAAGGATTCGGCATGAGGCTTTGGGCCTTATGGCTGGCACGGGACCTACTTCTTCATCGGTCACTGACCCTATGGTTCATTCTGCACTTTTGGTATGTTCACGAGACAAAATATACCTACTTAATTTGCAGTATCTGTAGCTGGTATTTATGAACCTGTTGACATCAATTGCAACATAATGATCACAAGGGCATAGCGAGAGAAGCTGAATGGTCGTGGAAGATCATAAGCCACAAGGATGTTGGCCCCTTAGGAGACAGAAGAAGCGAAGCAATCAGGGGCTCTGCCCTGTGTATCATAAAGGACGAATTGGATGAATATGCTGCCGCAGCTGCCACAGCTGCTGACTTGAGCAGTGAACCTTTTGTTGTTTGGCAACGGAATATGATTGCTGTCATCGAAGGTGGCTATCCTAACTGGTATGATATGTGAAAAGGTAGTATTCTTTTTGTTGCTTGTCACACAGATAAAATATCTGGATCTTTTGTTTGATGTGAAGAATGCTAATACCATTTTCATCTACTATCTATAGGGGCACTACTGTTAAGAAATTGGATTCTGCAGTTTATGTCGCTGAAGACTATTCCAAAGACTCATTAGATAATATATTTGACGAGGATATGATGAGCAAGTACATCAATGGCTCTCACAAGAGGAAGATGAAAAAACCGAGGTAGAATTTAGTTCTAATTGTGCATATGATATGAAAGGATATAGACTAGCTAGGATGTAGGAATTATGAAACCATTAATCTCAGTTGAAATAGGTTGAACAAAATTGCAACAGTAGTTCACTTGGCACTGCTAAATCTAGAGAAATAAGGACAAGCTTGTATTTTCATGTATTTTATATCCCCAAAGTTCAAATCTGCAAACTTTATATTGAAATTTCTGTGATAATTCCAATTATGAAACCATGCTGACATGCACTGTTTTGTAGGGGAAAGAATTCACTGAAGGAAGAACTGAAGTACTTCAAGAAAGATATTCTTTAGTTCTTCTGAGCAGAGGAAAGGTTAGGGAAAAACATATGCATATGTTGTGACAGCAAATGATATCTGAAATAGGGGATCCTACTATTTCCTAGGAGAAATTGTCTTTTTTCTGAAGCAGAGGAAAGGTCCTACTTCATTGACTTTTATGTTTTCCTGCAAAATTTGAATTGATTGGTTATGTCTAGATGGAAAATCTGTGCGTTCTCTTTCTTTTTTTTTCACAATCAAGAACTTGGAAGAGCGTTTTTTGTTTTCCTAGTTTGCAAAATATTATGTGTCATTTTAATAACAAAATGAAATAGATGAATCCTTCTGCCTTGTTTCAATAAACATGTTTGGCTTGTCATTGTGATGTTTCTAAGATATGGCCTCAAGATGTAGGTATCATGTTCTTTCCACACTGTCCTTTCTCATGTCCTTGACTAGATAACTATACTAATTTCATGTACTAATTGCTGCAGGGATAGATGATGCATAGGACAAATGGGAAGCAATGGTAATCGCGGTCGCAAGCACTAAAGCTGAGATGTTCACCTTGTGTGTTTCCTGGTATAATGAAAGAATATGTATCAGGGGGACAATAGGGTTAGGTTTCAGTTATTATGGTCTACATTCCTGAAAACCTTGATCTGTAATCCTTGATGCGCGGGTCAGGCTTACCAAGTACCAACGCTATTTATTAGGAGTCGTGGGATGGTTACCCTGTACCTGTGATTGCTATTTTGTTGTCCGTCAATTTGTCAAGTAATGGAGTCCAAGGCAGCCCTTCGAAAATTAGGAGGGAAACGCTGCAGCAGGGGATTTATGTTTGCCTGACGTTCCATTGCAAGTCCAGGCCAGGAATCCTATTTCTATGGTCATGTGTCATACAGATGCTGTATGATCCAAGAGTCATATATATATAGCGTATGCTGTAGGTATGTATTTGCTGCATACATTTGGATTTTCAACCTAAATTTAAAGCTGATTTTAGGGTTTTTTTTATCGAAATTTAATTTTCAGCTGTTGCTTTTAGATGCTAGGGGCTGGCCCTAAACGGCGAAGGGCGTAACTGTGCTCGAAGGGAGGGCGAGGTTGCACACGTCGCCGCCCCGGAGCCGTGGTGGAAACGAACGAGAACTTCTGATAATTTGCTTGCTTGATTCATTAATCTGATCGGATGGCATATATAGCCTCACAAATGAAACTAATCTGCTATTGTAAAGGGAATTAACAAACTCCTAACAAAGCAACTAACTGGAATGAAGCTTAATCCTATCCATGCGCCTGCGCCAGCTGTGCGTTCCTTCCTCTGCGCCGATACGTTAATCCCTACATAAGAGCATCCAGCAGCTCATCTAAATTTTATCTTCCATACTCCTATTTGGATGGCCATCCAAAAAGATTCTTACTCTGTATAACTTTTCACTTCAACAGATCATCCATATTACATCCTACATATACCAACATCCTATATTTTACTAATATTTTTCAACTACCACACATTTTTACTCCTATTCCTCTCACCTTTCACTACTTAAAAAAAATCTTGGGAAGTAGGTAGTTGAGGATGGAGTGAGGAGAGAGAACCTCCATATTGGCTTGGGAAGGGCTAGGTTTGGAGGACCTCCAAAAATGAAGTATGTGATGGAGACTCTGCTGGAGCACTGTTTTTCTCCTTCATACTTCAAATATCGGATGGATGACTAGATAGAGGAGCTGTTGGGGATGCTCAACATCTCTCCCCTCCTTGACAAGCAGCTCGTCCGCGAGCTAGAACGCTGGGTAACGAGACCGGAAGGAGTCCAAATCTTCCCAGGATGTCGCTGAAGCAGGCAAACCATCCCAGCGCACCAGGGGTTCCCATCCTCCACTACTGGAGAACCCCACATCTTTCCCGGTTCGCAACCCCCTAACGAACCGGGAGGAGGAATCCGGGACTAGTCCCGGTTCAGATACCCGGGAGTAAAGATTCATCTTTAATCCTGGTTGGTGTTACCAACCGGGACTAAAAATGGCTGAGCCACGTCCCGGTTGATCCCCTTTTTTTTTTCATTGCTAATTTACTATTGACAGTTAATCCCTGTATTTTCTCGCAAATCGGTTGAGATGCATATCCCCAAATCAAACCCCAAATCAAATCAAGTGACATTCCAAATCATTCACCTCATAAATCTAAGTTACACACAAATCAAATACATCACAAATCCTTAAATAAATTACACACAAAATAAAAACATCACTAATCCATGCAATGAATCATAAATTCTAGAAATTATACATCCAGTGAATCACAAATCACAAAAAAAAAATGGAGGACGCTGGCCGCCGCTTGCGTGCGCGGCCCCGCCGCCGCTGGCCGCCTGCCCGCAACTCGCCCGCGCCCGCCGCCGCCTGGCCCGTCGCGCGCCCACCGGCTGCCGCCTAGCCCGCCGCTTGCCCCTCGCCCGCGCCGGCCGCCACTCGCTGCTCGCCGCTCGGCTCGCCCGCGCCGGTCGCGGCTCGGCCCGCCGCTCGGCCGTGCAGAGGGAGGAGGGGGAGTAGAGGGGAGGAGGAGGAAGAGAAGAAGGGGTGGAGGAGAGGGGAGGGGAGGAGGAAGAGATCGGATCTGAGGGGAGGAGAGATCGAGGGGACTTAACTGATTTTATATAGGACTTAACCGATCAAAGATGGGAGAGAAATATTTACTCTCGGTTGGTAACTCTAACTGGGACTAAAGATAAATCTTTACTCCCGGTTGGTAGTATCAATCGAGACTAAAGATCTAAATGATCTTTACTCTCGGTTAGTACTACCAACCGAAACTAAAGTGGTAATCTTTACTCCCGGTTGGTAGTATCAACCGGGATTAAAGATCCTCGACCCCCTGGCAGGTTTCTGACAGGGGATGAACCGGGATCAATTTTTTTTTAACCGGGACTAAAAACAATCTTTAGTCCCGTTTTTTATTAGAACCGAGACTATTGTGGAAATCGCTCGACCCTCCAAAGATCATTTCTCCAGTAGTGCTCTGCTGTTGGGGGGAGAACGGCAGAGGCGCACAGTGAAACACGAGGGGAGCTACAGCAGCAGAAGCTGTCGTACTTAGGGATGGCAATCGGGCGCGACGGGCACGGGTAGTGCCTACCCATACCCATGACCGTGAGATTATTTGTGCCCGTGGGTATACCCATTACTACATGACGGGTAAGGATGGTTGCCCATGCCCATTGCCCACGGGCGCCTTATGCCCGCGGGCGTGCCCGTTTACCCGCCACAACAAAAACAGTGGAACAAAAAGTCTACAAGCTACTAAGTTCAAATCGAACTTAAAACATCAAATATTCTCCGCCTCGGTGTCGTGTCTCTCCTCTGGCGGCGATAGAGTAAGAGGAGAGAAATAATAAGGGAAATAAAAGGGAAACCGTAGAAAACAAAGAACGTGGCTTATGTATTCTAGTGGATTTTGCTCCTAGCCTACATGTAAGTTAGATTTCGCGGGTAAACGGGCAAAGCGGGCATGGGTAGTGATTACCCATACCCATGCCCATTTACCCATAGGGCATAGCTTTTGACCCAATAAGATACCCATGGGTATAAAATGGAGAACAAACCCAACCCTAATAGGGTTTTTACCCGCGGGTAAACGGGCAAACGGGCACAATTGCCATCCCTAGTCGTACTCCACGCGCGACACGAGACTTGAGCACTTCTGCCGGAATAGGTAGAACGACGCCATGTTGCGTCGGAGGCAGCGCCGACGGCGACGTCGGCGGAGTTCCCACAAAAGGCTTCAATAACCCGACATGAAATACATCATGCAGTCGTGCACCATCAGGCAGGGCTAGGCGATACGCCACGTCATTGATGACCTCCAAAATTTGATACGGCCCATATTAGCGAGGACCCAACTTCCCTTTCACCGGTGTCGCAAGAGAGGCTGGAACACGATGGCGGAGGCGAAGCCACACCCCATCACCGATAGCAAATGAAAGCTCCTGGTGACGGCGATCATAGAACTTCTTGGCATGTTGCTGGGCCTGTTCGAGATGATAGCGTAGAAACCATTTTTCGTCGGTTGCCTAAAAATCACAGTAGTCCCGATTCAAAATAGGAAGTAGGATTAAATATTATTTTTAAGTCTCGGTTAAAAACTTTTTGATTTTTAGGAGACTAAAGATCATTTTTGTCTCGGTTCAAGAAGTTGTCGAGTCGAGTTAGACTCTAATTATTTTTAGTCCAAGTTAGTATAAACAACCAAAACTAAAAAGGATTTTAGTCTCGGTTCTTTATACAAACCGGAACCAAAATTAAAAAGTTCACCCCGAGCCACGCGCCAGTCTCATCTCGGTCTTATCCCTCCCCCTTCCTCTCTCCTCCCCTCCCATTAAACAGCCTCCTCCCCTTCATCTCGGTCTCATCTCAGCCTCCTCTATCCTTCTCCTCACCCCTTCTTCCCCCTTCCTCTCTCCTCCCCCTCCGCGCCTCCTCCTACCACGTCCTCTCCTCTATCTCTCGCTCTCTGGGTTGGCGTCGGCCGGGCGGGAGCAGCGGCCTGCGCACGCGGAGGCCGGGAGGGCGATAGCCAGGCGGCGGCGGCCGGGCGGCCTGCGCGCGCGGAGGCCGGGAGGGCGACGGCTGGGCGGCCTGCGCGCGTGGAGGCCTGGAGGGAGGCGACCGGGCGGGCGCGGCGACCTGCGCGCGCGGAGGCCGGGAGGGCGACGGCCGGACGGCCTGTGCGCGCTGTTTGTTTGTTTTTTTTAAAAATTTATGATTCATTGGATTTGATCCGAGATGTATTGGATTTGTGATGTATTTCTTTGAGAATTTGTGATGTATTTTTTTTTTAGAATTTGTGATGTGAATCTATATATGTGATGCTACTTTGATTTGTGGATGATTTGGGGATATGGTTGGGGATATGTAGGAAACAAATCGATTTGGAAAATCAAAATGTAGTGAGCAAAGAAAAAATATAAAAAAGAAAAAATAGCGACCAACCGGAACTGCCGCTACCCTCTTTTTTGACATAAGATGGATTTTTAGTCCCGATTATTTTATAACCGAGACTACACGGGTTACTAACCGTGGGTAAAAAGTCTTTCTCCAGCAGTGGTATATCGTCAAGGAATTGAACGCATCGCGTTCTTGTAGTGCGCATGCTATCGTCAAGGAACGCATCGCGTTCTTGCAGTGTGCACGCCACAGCGACGAAGCGGAGCTCACCGTGCTCGTACTCCCAGAGGCGAGGCAGGTCACGTCCATACACCACGTGAAACGGAGTGTCTTGTAGCGCCGAGTGGAAAGACGTATTGTAAATGTACTTCGCCCAGGGTAGTCACTTGATCCACTGTCGTGGCCGGTCGCCCACAAGGCAACGCAGATACATGGCGATTGCCTTGTTGACAGCCTCCGATTGTCCGTCCGTCTGCGGGTGGAACACTGACGACATGTGCAGCTTTGTGCCGGTGGCGGCGAACAGGGCTTGCCAAAATGTGGAGGTAAACACCGGGTCGCGGTCGGAGACGATCGACGCGGGCACGTCGTGCAGCCTGACAATATCGGTGTAGAAGGCGCGTGCCACCGATTCGGCCAAGTACGGATGAGCCAGCGTGATGAAGTGGGCGTACTTGGAGAAACGGTCAACGACGGTGAGGATGACTGACTTGCCGGCGACGCGGGGAAATCCCTCAACAACATCCATGGAGATGTCCGACCAAATGGCCTGTTTGTTTACCTCTGGCTTGTCTGTGCAAATCATGATTGTTAAGGCGTAGCTATGATGTCGCTGTAGTGTCGCCATAGTGGTAAGGTGGTGGCAAGTGTCAAGGCGTATGCCCGCCTTACCAGCAAAACTAGTAGAGAGGGAAAGGAGACGGCAAAACCAGTAAAAAAGAGTGGAAGGGGATAAGCTCACATTACTCTGTGTGCTATTTAGTTCTGTTTCTGAGATGGTTTCTTGATAAATTTGCCTTATCTAAACACGTGCTATCAAAGTTCATCCAGTTTTTTATGGGGGGTCTTAG